TAAAGTAAAGCAACGTAATATGAATTTAATTGAAAGTTTTTCCAAAATGTTTCATTCAGAACTCTTAATGGCACCGATAGAAAAATGTCCTGCCTATGATACAGAAGAGAAACTGATAATTAAGAGACAGTTCATCAGCTCGTCACGCATCATTTCCATATGCCAAGCATTCGCTAAAAAAACTTTTCTTTGAAAAGTTAGCCAATATCAACTTTTGGCACTATAATACAATTTTGGAAAAAAACAAGAAAAAAATACTCTATTAAAGACATTCTAGCTTGTGTTTCAACAGATCCTTGAAATTTTTCATAGTATATATCAAAAGATAGAGAATTAAAAACTGAATGAAGTAAACTATATTGATATAATTTAAAGTCTGTGAAACAAGGCTTACACTATCTGATTTTTCATGTTGTCTTTATAGTTTTCTAATAGAGATTGAATATTTTAGCAGTTTTCATTGGTTTGGTATAGTATTGAAGCAAAATCGATATGATATTCGAAATCAGCGTCGAAAACTGAATCTATTGACTTAAATTGTAGCAAACATTTATTTCTGCCCAAAACTTACCTGTAGAGGACGAGAGAGAAAATTTTTCTTTAAAGATAGCTATGAAGAACCACAAGTCAGTTTCGGACAGGAAAAAATTTTGCTAAAAGATAAATGAATGGATTCAGTTTTCGACGGGTGGATGTAGATTGTGGGTGTAGGGTGCGGATAGCATGTGATAGGTGTGAGTGTAGTGTGAATGTCGGTTCTCTGTTCATCTACGCCCACACTCTCAAATAGTGCTTACCTGTGACTGTGAAGGCACCAATTTGATTACTAGTGGAGAGAAAACTGATGATGCCAATTGTATTAGTAGTTGTGATTATGATGATGATGATATTATTGATGATAGCAATAAATATGACTGAACTGCATAATTATATCTTACAATAGGCTTAGCCTTCTTGTTGGCTTTTACACCAAAGCATTTAGATTAGCCTTCTTTTATGAGGTGCTCGTTTATTTTCAACTAGCAGAATAGTTTATGAAACTACCTTCTTAGCAGTGTTTCATCTTGTCACAAAGTATTAAAGAAACAATTATTTTATACACCATAGTTAAATTCATTGAACTTCTAAATCCTAATCCGTTCAGTATCAAGCGTTTTCAGATGAGCATGAAATGTAGATATGTGTCGAAGTCTGTTATACCTACTTGAAAATATAACTTTATGGATTACAATTATGATAGATTTATTTATTACTACATCGTGCATGACCGGTAACTTTGGTATGACTATACAGTGTAAAAAATCAGATCTTAATTGTATCAACGAGGATTATTCTGAATTCACTTATAAGCCTCCAGCCAATAAAAATATGAATGAACATATATCATTTGTTGCTAAGAGTGGCTTCTCTTCTTTGAAATTGTTTCTTTGCACTATCTGTTATATATATATATATATTCTTACGTTACTCTTCATGTGGTTATAACAGAAACTGTTTAGGCGATGTTACATGCTTCAATAGAGTAAAGCGGTCTATATGTAATATATCAAGAGAGTTTATTGAAGTAAACATATGTGTACAGAATAGAAAAAGATAGTAGAAATCAGAAGCGAACAACGGTGCCATCAGTCACTTTTCATGATTTTCGTAGGAAGAAATAACAGTAGAAAGTTGTCTTTCTTCTTGATGGTAAACCATATTTTTCCATTATTTCTAAATACTTAAATACGAATAGCGCTTCAATTCAATCTTCATGTGTCAATCCATAGTGCTATTTTCTTTGTTCAGAGCGAACGATGCTTTTCTATTTCATGATGATAACATGCAGAGTATCAACATGCCGTCTTTTTCTATCACATAATGAGTAAATACTTTTGATGCAAGTGAAACGAAGAGATAGTACAAAGAAACAAATTTGAAGAAGAATACTTTCATTATTATATGTTTTTTTCTAATTAAGAGATAATGAAAAACAAAAGTCCTTATTTTATGGTATGGATGCGACAGAAAAAGAGATATTTACACTTATTAATAATCATCGTCAACAATACGGTTTACCATCACTTGAACCATCCATTAATCTTGCGTATGTTGCTCGTACACATGCTGTTGATGTGGTTGAAAACAATCCAGATGTTTGTGGTGGTAATATGCATAGTTGGAGTAATAAAGGAAAATGGAAACCAGTTAGATATACATCTGATCATCAACACGCACAATTAATGTGGAGTAAACCATCTGAAACAAGTAATTATAAATTTCATGGCTTTGAAATATCCTCTGGTCACTCGGGTTCTTTAAGAAAAACAACTACAGTTAATCCAACAGAAGCTCTTAATAGTTAGAAAAGCAGTCCAGGACACAAGGCTGTTATGTTGCAATAAGGTATTTTTCATCACTCACCAATGAAAGCAATCGATTGCGGTGTTGATAAAGGATATGCATGTGTATGGTTTGGTCAAGAAAAAGATACATTTCCAGCGCCGTCGTAAATACTATTACTCCATTCAAACTAAGGATTTTCTTCTTTAATACGTGACCCATCAAATACTATAATAACAAATAGCTATCGTTTATTCTTTTTTTACACTACATAATAAAATAAAAGTTATAATGTGACAAAAAATTTTACTTTCAAACATTGGGTGGATGTATGTGTGGGTGTGAGTGTGAATGGATGTAGGTCTTAGTCGACATTAATTCAACCTACACCCACATCCTGAAATGTTCTTTCAAACAAAAAACTTTACTATACAAAATGAGCCTGAGCAGAAAAATTTGGTTTGACAAATTAGCTATTTCTGAACCTTGTTTGGTAAATGTCTCCGTCAAACGTTATGATATGAGACTGAAAGCTTCATGCAATTCGGATATTCATAGTCTAAGATTGATTTTTGAAGAGAGTGTTAACTTTTGTTGCAAAATAATCGGATTTGTGATTTCGGTTATGACTGTAGGGTTATACGGTTTTAATTAATTTTATTCAGACTAGTATTTTACTAGCAGGTGCCATCACTAATGACCTACATAGAGCAATTTATAATGAATGAGATGATGGTTAAAAATGACTTAGGCATAGAACATAAAATTTTCTCTTATTTCCTCTGATCTCATTAGTAATAGAAAAAAGTAAGATGATAAGAACTATTCAACAAGAGTGTGAGTAGAAAAAGAAACTCGGTGACAACGTGAAGGAAATGAAGAGAACAGAATTTTCTCTTACGACAATCTGTCGCAGCATATACTAAGTACTGTAAATATCAGTGAGCATCAAATGGTTGTGTGGTCTCAAAAGAAAGATCCAGCTCCTTACGAAATGATTGAGTTTATCATAGGTGGTATACTGCCTATGTTTTTGATTGTGATTGGTACTGTGGGTAATCTTATATGCATTATTGTCTTACTCAATAAAGAAAATCGTCGAGTATCAACCAATATTTATTTAATATTTTTATGTCTTATGGATACTATTTCACTTTATCAATGGAATTTAAGTCGTGCAGTAGACATATTCACAGATGGCCAAAAGCCAATATGGGGTCAATCATTGTTCCTGTGCGAATTGAGTCATTTTCTTGCTTTTTACACCTTACATACATCAGCAATGTTTCTTACTTTTGTTGAACTTGACCGAGCGTGTTTCTTAAGAAGTAGATGGTACAAAAATAGAATAGCCCGACCATTCGTTGCATTGACATTTTGTACTGTTATTCTGGTGATTTTATTCGCAATTAATGGATATTTATTAGGATTGGGTTTTGAATATTTGACATATAATAATAATACAGAAATAGGACAAAAAGTTGTGGTATGCTCTTACACATTGAACATTGAACTTAATAACTTCTATTTGCTTCAATATCCATGGGTAAGTATTAAACTGAACATTATTGAAATTAATATTCATTTTCTTGTAAAGATTCACCTAGTGATCATGTATATTCTACCGTTTACTGTCATCATTGTGTGTACACTTCTTACTGTGAGAAAACTTATTCTTAAACAAAAATCGACAAATAATCAATTAACAAGGAATGCTCAGCGCAAGCGTCGCATTTCAAAGATGTTGTTACTAATGTGTTTAACTTATGTTATTTGTACTCTGCCCAATCGTCTGTGTTTTTCTGTTTTTGCAGATGAGATTATAGGTCATGACTATACCGATACTGTATTCCTTGCTACGAACACATTAATGTTTACAAGAAATGCAATTAATGTATTTTTTCTGTACATGTCTGTCTATGGATTCCGACAAAATCTACGTAAATTTATATTAGCATGCCTTAGTAACCGACTAAATCAAGTAAATCCAATAAATCATACAGCGACAAGAAATAATGTGGCTTCGATAATGATTGATGAAAAACAATGTCAAATGCGAAACAACACTATCATACAATAATAAATCAATTATTGTTCGTGTTCTCTTACAGAGCAGTCAAACACTACTTAATGTTTTTATCAGTATCAGTTATTGTCATTGTAACAATTTAGTTCCTTTTTGTAAATGCATAATGATTGTATGCTTATAAACTAAAATAGATGTACTCCTCTTAATTTGTATAAAATTTTCTGTATCAAAGCAGAACAACACAAAAGAAAGTCGCTTGAGTCAAAATACAATCATATCTTTAATGTTTTGTAAGTTGAAATTGATTAGTAATAGTTATAAAATTCACAGCAATATGCAAGTTGAAAATCAGTATTTGTTTTTTTGCTTTAGCTTTAAATGTATTAGGTAGCATAGTGTGTGAACCATCTTTTATACATCTGGAAATCTATATAATTTAATTATTAATAAAATAAACCATTTGTTCACAACCCAATGCCCACCGTTTTTCATGCATGTTTTATTCGAATCTTTTTAAATCAATTTTTTATGAACTGTGAAACAATTCATCTAGATCAAATAGAAGAGTGGTGTTCGAATATTCATAACTAGAGTTCTCCTCAATCAATCTCTACGATTTTTTTCCAGCTTATATCCGTCTCAGACGTCCTCACTACTACCCAAAAAAATCACAACTTTGCCTCGAACCATTCTCGGGGACATTGGATGCTCAATATTAAATAGTTTGATTTTTGCTATGATCTATCAGAAACAAATGCCATATAACCATTTGGTTCTATTATCATTTGAACTTCGAATATTCGTGATATTATAGTGAACAGTGTAAACGTCTCGAATATGAAACTAATTGATTCTTTTAGTGCGTTTCTTATTGCAATTTTCTCTCAATATCATAAATACAGTCAATCCTCGATTTGCTGGCACGCGAAAGTTTTTAGTTTGTTTGATGTATAACTTTTTTTAAACATGACAGTTTAATATGAAATTTTAATCATTTTATCTACTCACTGTGGTCAACTATCATTTAAAATGTCAAGGTCAGACATTTTTGATAGTTCGTGAAAACGAGACAAATTAGTGTCAATATGTCACGCGAGATAATCATTGCATGACTGCATCAAAACTAAAGCTCAAGTAGCTATAGAATATATTAATTGACGTCATATTTAAGAAACTATCAAGAGTCATGCGAATCAATATTAGATTGTGTCTGACAAGTTAATGAACTCTCAAAAAAAAGTTGGCTAATTAAATACATTCTGTAACTCATCGCGCATTTGCAAATTTTATAGCTTGATAAGTGTTATAACAAAATATAATTCAGAATAAATCATGTTGTTTCAGCCGCTAACTCTAGATCAATCATGGTTCCTCATGACAAAGAAAAGGTTCAACGTTAAAATCTAAAATATCATCGAAAAATTCAACTGAGCCGTGTATTATCAAAGTCATATGACTTTGAATTCAAAGAGTAACTTAAAAAAAACTATCGTATTCCGGTCACTTGGATAGTGTGGCAGTCGAGAAAATTTATTCACATTCTCCTCTCCTGTATTAGCATAGAACACGCTAATCATCGCTGTTAAAATCGAAAGTTTTTTTTTTTACCATTTTTTTCACAGAACGGTACAATCATTTTGCAATTCATTCATACATATACATAAGATTAAACTCTATAGTATACGTGTTGAATGAGGATACTTCTTTTAGTTAATGCTATTCGCAACCACTTATGTAACATATACAGAAGAGAGTAGAATTCGTTTTGAAGTATATCATATTTTGCAAATTTTGTTGACATAATCGATATCATTCAAATTCAGACTATTGTATCAAAATAAGTATCCTTTTTTTATTATATTCAATGCTAGACTTTGTTTTGAAGGGTGTGGGTATGGTTGCGGTTGTAGATTTGTATGGATCAAAAGAACATTTACACGCTCATCTATACTCTCAAATTTCACTTTTTTAAAAGTTTTTCTTTTGACAGTTATAAGTTTGTTTATGGCATCACTAGAATTGAAATTCAGTATGAACTCAAGTTGAAGGGTGTATGTGTCATTTCTTCAACAAAGGATGAACGATAACAATGAAATATTGCTCTTCTCGTGCATTCTTGTCAAACGATCTAATGCTACTAATTATTTTTTTGTTGTTGTTAACTTTCATTCACGTAGTTCAGTATTTTCAGTGTTTTCTTCTTGTTTTGATAATAATAAGCATTATTGCTAGAGGTATTTACAATATCAATAAGATTCGATGACAATATTTGTTTATTTGAAACTCAATGGTTTAGGAAAAAATTGTGATGCATCACTGCACATGAAGTATTTATCTTCGAGAATACCAATAAATGTGAGATATTTAGTGACTACCTGATGATGAGACGGTACTAAGCGTTCGAGTATAATCAATGGCTTGACCAATACGAAAACCATTTTCATCAAGATTCGTGTAAAAAATGTGAAAGCTTTATCAAACTTTCTTCTATTGTTTTCCCTGAATCCAACATACTCAGAAAAAACAACGTATGTTGATGAGGTACTTGGAAATATTTATAGATTGTCTATGCGAAACATGCCAAAATGTCGTGAGTGAATAAGATGAAGAGATATAAGAAGCATGTGTGATGTATTTCGTTTTGTATCTTGCGAGAATGTTATCAATGATCATTGGTTCTTGTACACGATTAACTGTGTGAGTTATTTCAAGGGGTTCTAATGCTTATCGATAATAATGGACGTCTCGATCAAATAGTGTGGGTCAGGGAGCCGTTATCTGTAGAACTTTTATTGTATGAGTGGAGGTCTGCGGCACTACGCATATATTACACTGCATTTGACTTCTTTGCATGTACATCTAGACTCACATGATGGAGAATCCGATATTCAATATGAAATTATCGGCGAGGTATTTGCGATCGTTGTTAACTGAATCACCTTGATGTTCTGATAGATAAGTTCTTACAAAAATGAAGGATTTTTTGGGTACGGT